GTGTTGAGGAGGTCTCGGTGTGGAGTGAGTACCTGAAACAGAGCTGGTAGCATGGTCTCGAGTCTAATGACTTTTTTTTCCTGACAAATATTAAAAAATAAGTCATTGTTCTGAATTGCATTCATAGCACGCAGAACAATAATCCATTCAAAAGACAAGTCATTGGATAAGTTTGTTTCAGTCATTTACGAAGGTCCAAGAGCATGTCTCTGTGTTATCTGGGCTGTCTGCTGGGAGGCACCTGTAACTATCTCCCCATATTTCAGAAGGAATCCCAGACGTAGAATGGTATTTGGATGCACACCCACTCCTCGCAGTATGTCCCTAACGCAAATGGCAAACCTCATGACTGTGTGGGCATAGTGTTCTCCCCTGGCCTTGAATTCAGTTGGTCTCTTATTCAGAAAATTACTTTCCTTAGGTTGGGAGAAGAGAGTATTGAACTCAGTGTATATCCCACCTGTCTGACATGATTACTTCCAGCAAAATCAATGGAATTATTTGCGCAGGATGTGATCCAGGGTTAAGAAATTCTTTAAAGCATAGGAGCAAAAAAGTGTGTATGTTTATATGCTGGAATTTATCCCTTTTCAGGCACAAACAAAGGGAGTATTAAGGACCATGAGAGAGTCCCATTAAGGGCATAGTGTACAAAGAGTGTGAGGCATAGGACAGTGTAGGGTGAAATAGGATAGGAAGGGAAGGGAAATAATGTCAGTCAGGCAAATAGGGTAACTTGTCCAAGTAACTTCTCCAAATCTGTTTGAAGGTGCCCAGTGAAAAGGTTGGGGCTTGCTTAAAGTTACAGTTTAAGGAATGAAATTATTATAAAAATAATATTAGAGGTGGGCACAGGCTGCAAATATGTTACTTTTTCTGAAAAAACAAACTAATTAAAAATCATTTCCTCTTCTCTTTCTTTGCCAGGATGTATTTTCAGGACTCTGTGCTTCCCCTCAGGCAGCCAATGAAACCTTAGGCACCTAAAACAAATAGAGGCAGTATACTTAAGGACTTGGCCCTTAAAAAAAAAAAAAAAAAAAAGAAAGAAAAAGAGGAAATTATTTTAAAATACTTTGCTTTAAAATGTGCTAGATTGTAATTTTTATATTCATGCAGATTTTGTTATTAATTTTGGCTCGTAAGTAGTTCTCTTTATAAAACCATTCACCTTTCATATGCAGTTAAACTCAGATCCTGGGTAATCTTAGGTTTCTGTGCTTGCTATTTCCAGGACACACACAGGAACAATTCTCTTTAAAACTTGGATGTGAGGTACATCCAGGTTGAATAGTGACAGTGGAAATCATGTTCGCTGCTTACCCAGGGCTGCCACTCACAGCGAGTAGAGCCACACTCTCTGCAGTTCTCACCTCGTGCGCGTGCCACCCTAGCTGCCAAGTTCGTGCCACCCTAGCTGCCGAGTTCATCCCAGCAGTGCACTGAATTGTATGACTGGTGTCTGTTCCACAGGTGTTCCCTCTGCCTCTCCCAGAACCAAAAAAGAAGGTGGTGGAGCCCCTTGCTCTGCAGAATGGGTGCTAGAGAGAAGCTTGGCGATGAGTTTAATCTGTTCGGACTTTTCTAGTTCTTCTTTTCATTGTTGTTTCATAATGCAAGTTGTGCTGTCTTTCATGCAGAGAGCAAAGTCAAGAACATAGGCTTTTTTGGGTTGTGGCCCTTCTTCTTGCAAGCATTCAGGCCATCTGTTGAAGTCACAGTGGCTATCCACGTGCTGGAAATTAAATACACGCATTTGTCAGATCGAAGTTTGAACTACTGTTGCCCTTGAGTAAAGGTGGCACATGTCCCTCATGCAATGGTATCAATTCACAGGTTACAAAATTTAGAACAAAATTATTTATTCCATGAAATAATTTGTAAAGGAAAGGATAAGGAAAAAGAAAATGTGAAAAAAATATTGTTACAAATGCGAATAACATTTCTGTACGAAATAAGTTTTAAGTAAAGATTTAAAATAAAAAAGAAATGTAATTGTTTAAATTTTATTCCAAGTAGTTCGTAAAGCTTTGCTAATATATTGCTTTTTTGTTCTTTCACAGAGTGACTTATTATCACTCAAATATCTCAAACATATTGATAGACTCATCTGTAAGGCATTCCCCCTCCCACTTTTATGGGAGCTTCTGGGCAGCCAGCCGAACAGTACTTGAGTCATTAGACCCTGGTTGTAAACATATAAATAAGTCTATTTTAATGTTCTTGTGAATATGTCCTCTGGACTGAATGTGATATAAAAGTTATGTGTGTCCTTATGTGGTCACAGGCTTGGGTTTACATGAGGAACCAGTTTATCTATACTGAATCCTTCAGTAGCATGTCATCACTGCGGCGACATTGCCTTTGACTAAGAAAATGGCAGGCGAGTTTAGGTTGGTACGAGTCATGACAGAAGCAGGAATATTTCAAGATATGGGCAGGAGAACCATTTAGCCCAGGGAGGCTAATATATAGTCTTGCGGCTTGTCAGCCTCTCTGCGTGAGTCTTGTTAATGTGTGGGAAGTTCCCAGTGACTGACTCAAGGTCGTGCGTGAGAGGTATGTCCCAGCTTGCCTCATGTCAGCCTCCTTGTCCCCTTTTACATTCTTTGCCATGGTTCAGTTTCACAGAATCACAGAACCACAGAATGGCAAGGGTTGGAAGGGACTTTGGGAGATCATCCAGTCCAACCGTCCTGCTAAAGCAGGTTCACCCAGAGCATGTTACGCAGGACTTCATCCAGGCGGGCTTTGAATATCTCCAGAGAAGGAGACTCCACACCCCCATGGGCAGCCTGTTCCAGTGCTCTGTCACTGTGAAGACTGCAAAGAGAAACATGCAGGAGTTGGGAAATACCACAGAGAAGCTCCCCTCTTGTTTTTGTGTGTCACCTCTTCAATTACATGGGTTATGCACTGTTTTCCACCAGCTTCCCGTCTTGCTGACGGCATAGGGTGAATACGGTCAAGGACTGGCATCAGGTTTGTGAAGCAGAAGATGCCACTGTCCAAAGGACACCCAAGCCATTTTTTTTTTTCAGGAAATGGAGGTAGCATCATGAATGAAGCAAAGAATTACAGATGGAAAGAGACACAAATAGGGAAGATGAAGCTGTTCAAGGGAATTAATATCATCCCTTCCTTTTCTCTAGAGTCACTACAGAACAGTAGACTGTAGCCAAATACTTGAGCTGAGATATTCACAGGAAGCCTCTAATGATTAGCACAGTTTGGGGGGTTTAGAGAGTGACTCCTGTCTCTCCATTGCAAAAGGTGCAGAGCACGCATGAGGATGCTTTGAGTTGTGCTTTGAACAGCTCATAATCTGATTGATGCTAAGTACCCTGGGAAAGTTAGGCTTCTGGTGTTTCTGGTTGCATATTCAAAATCAGCTAAAACTTCTGATAATTTTTATTTCAGTTTCTCTCTGTTTCTGTCCCCAGTTTTATGGTAAGGATGATGCCACCTCCTTTTTATAAGTATGGAAGCAAAGTCACAGTGTTTATGGTAGACTAGTATACTTATTACTATACTTATTACTTATACTTATTACTATAACTAGTAATAAATGAAAATTACTTTAATTAGATTAAAATGTCCACAAAGAGGTTTATCATCTCTCCTCAGAGCAGGGCTTGGTCACTTCTACAGAAGATTGCTTTTAAATCTTTATTAACTATCCCTTTTATTGACCTCACCTTCTGGCCTCTCAAGCTCATTGATCTCCACACCTCTCTTTATCTCTGCCTTACACTTTTGCTCCTCTGCTTTCTCCTTTTTTCTACTTCTTGAGTCTGGTGGCTTGCAAAGAGAAACTTTGCCATTAGGAGGGAGAGCCTCTCAGTTCTGCGCTTGGGACCATGGACTTCCCACTTCACCAGCATGTCCCACTAAGCTACATGGGTTGCCATGGAGTAGCATCTGTGAGGATGGCAGATAACACATCTCACCAGCACAGGGAAAGGCTCTACCACATTCATGGGGAATTGAATCTATCCAGCCTCTGCAAGCAGATTTTTTCAAAGGCTTATAACTTAGCCAAATCTGGGCATCTTTTAGTAAAAAGTTTTCCCCTGCCAAATTTCAAGTCCTTGCTCCAAAACATGGAGGCACTAGAGCTTTTTAATGAAACAGTTATTAAAAACCAGAACAAAACTAGGAATAATAACATGTTTTTCTGTCAGTTGTTCTCAGAAAAGTTGTTCTGTTGTTCTCAGAAATGGCTGAACCAGTTCAGCCCAATTTATTTATTTTGGAAAGAGTCTGCTGAGACAAACTTTCAGCACGGGAAATTTCAGCTCAACTGGTTAGACTTTCTCCAAGTTTGGCAAAGTTTAATGCAAGTGAAAATGGTCTCATACTGGGAAGTCAAAAGCAAGCTTACTTATCAGCAATGCTTACTATAGAAAAAGACTGTTTATATAAACTGCTGGTTTTTTAATGTTTCAGATTCTTTGAGTATATATTGCTCTACAAAGATGCAGTGATGTTTCAGATTGAACAAGTTACAAAGCTTTGCTCAAAGATTGCTCTGACGGAGCCATGGGATCCATATGATATTCCCGCCAATTCAACCTATGAAGATCAGTATTACATCGGGGGACCTGGAGATGAAATTATGGTCCAGGAATGGTCTGACAGAAAACCAGCCAGGAAATGTATGTGCATGCTTTTGTTTCATCTTAATAATAATCATTGTCTCTGCTACCCAGGGAAGAATAAAATTATTCATGTTTCACCCCAGCTTTCCATATCTCTATATTTGCTTGAAGAAATAATAAATATACCCTGTGCACAGCATTTAATTTCATTTATTATCAATGCTTTTTATTAAGAAAATGTTTCATATCTCTGCAGGATCAAATACATCCAAGGGGCTTGGTTGTATTTTAGTTCATATCCTACAGTTTTTTGCATGGAACAGCATCATTTTGCATCTGAATCCAGCAGACTGTATCCAAAATTTATCTAGAGAAGAACTGGTAATATAATTAGGGGCACACTCAAACCAGAGCATGCATAATAGAAGCAAAGCAGGTGTCAGTGTGTGTCAACACACCAGTATCAAGTGTTAGCAGAGAATACATCCAATACATGGTTCTGCAGCAACAGACATCATTAATACGCGCTTAAGTTTTGTTATCCGCTACACTAGTAAGCAACGTCTGCCCTTGAGGCTTAGTTTTGCATTTGGCAGTTGAACACCTGCACCATAAAAGAAAGTAGGCTGAATTTTCCAAGGTATAGTACATTAGGCTACGGATGCATAGCAGTTTATTAGCACGTTGGCTTCAACTTCGTCTATGGTTTACTGATAACCCAGACAACTATAAAAAGAATTTTAAAACCCCCATGAAATTTATGGCATTATTCAGCTAATGCAATACTTATGGTTATAGACACCTAATATAAAGACTGGTTATGAACCTGAGCATTTAGCCAGGGGAAAATAGTTCTTTCTTGAATAAAAGTAGAAAGAATGTAGTAGAAAATAAAGGATAAGATTGTTAGGCCTCTGTAACTAGGTCAATATATCCTCTGGTATTCTACAAGAGGCAAATTGTCACTCACTCCAAGAATTTTGTTTTTCAGATCAAGTATTTTTGGAACTTTAATGAAACTTAATATCTAGATACCTTCAGTTAAGGATGTGTGATTTTTAGCCTGTAGTATTTTGTATCTGCAGTGCTTTTCTGTATGATCATTCAGAAAAGTAATATCTTAAAGTTGTCTTCCCATCCACCTTTCAGCTAATATTAGCTTGGATTCCAGAAATTGTATTTCTGTTAAAATTATGAAGGTTTCAGTAGAGATACAGGCTACCCTGGTGGCATTGTATTTTACCTTATTTTTTTTTTCAAAATTCTGATAAAAGACTTGTTGAAGAAAAGAATCCTCCATTTCTGGATACTCAAAACCAAGCTCATTGGGCTCAGAATGCTTTTGCTATATTAGGATGCCCTGGAGAGCTATGTTCAAATATTGCTCAGCTTGCCACCCTTTTTTTAGGCACCGTATGTGCATTTCATGTCACAGCTTATTTATTTCCAATAATGTGATAGTGGTGCAGCGTATCACACAATACTGGAAGGACAGAAAGGAAGTATGTTTGATAGCTACCGAGTGGGAGAAAATAAGCTTCCTTGGGACTGGGAAAAATTCATACAGGCATCACTCAGAGGAACTGATTTATGATCACAGTAGGTATTTTTGTATTTTAACCTCATGAGTTTCTACTGTCAAGAGGTCTGAAATGCATGAAACAACCGTATGAAGTGGTGTATGATGGATGGGGTAAAGAAAGACCATGGAAGAGATGCATGGGATAAATAAAAGAAACTTAAAAGAGAGGTTTTAAAAGTGAAGGGTGTTCAAATGAAACCACCGCTATGGTATTGACTTCAAAAACAGATTAGTGGTGAAAGTAGAGGTGATGGCAGAGGACAAGGGGGGAAGAGAGTGAGAGAACACCTCTGAGATAAGCACATCATGGAATTAAACCAAAGTTAAAAAAAGGGACAGACTCGCTCCATCACATACATGGAGGACATTAGCATTGAGTGTAGTCTTGAAATAATTAATGAACCAGTAGAAATGATTGAGAAGAATAGGAATTTAAAAAATTATAATGATATGAATCGATGGTGGTAAACAGAAGGAACGATTTAAAAGAAGAAATGGAGGCACTGGAGTTGTATTTGGGAATGTTCCTCTTCAAACAAGACAAACCCTCTGTGCTTGAGACAGTAAGATGGAAAAAGATGAAGCAAGGTCATCTCTATTTGGTTTAAAGATGTGGTGAGTATCACCAGTGTAAGAACGACAGTTAAGATTATGGAGGACCAAAAGCTATGGAAGAAAGATGCTACAGCTGTCAGTTCTGGTACAGAGGAGTCCTCCAGCAGTTAGAGTGTCAGTGGCCATGTTGAGGGCCAACATTGTAAAACGGACCACAGGTTTTCAGTAATCACACCTTTCAACTTATGACGAACAGAGGGGAGGGTGAAGTGTTCCTGTGCTACCCAAGCTGATGGCGCCAAAATTTGCTTCTGGGAAAACAGAGCATTTCATTGCTTTACTGGTGAAGTGAGTAAGTGCTGACATGAAAGCAGCATGAGAGATGAGAGAAATCAGACTTGTGCAGAACACAGCTAAATCTGGGACTAAGCAGAAGTGATGGTCCTTCAGTAGAGGTATACTTGAAAAGTGACATACCAATTCCATGACAGTATCATGATTTGAAATGTGCTTGACACCAACATGTTCAGGTTTCAGAACATGGCAGTGTCCAAATTTTAACAGTTTTGTGGCCTTTGTTGGTGTTGCCATGCATATGGACAGAACTATGGGCAGTTCCAGCCTATAGGCTTTGCTTGAGCAATGGCCATTGTTTTGACTGTCGTCATCGTGACACATTCATTCATGCTTGTTGTCTAAAGTAGTCACATTTCTGCTTGGTTACAGTGGAATCCTGGGTTGGCGTTTACACAGTCAAAGACTGTTACCCTGTACAGGAAACCTACACGAAGAACTACAGCGTGACAACCTCCACTCGCTTTTTTGATCTACAGCTGGGCATTGCCGACCCCTCGGTGTTTACCCCACCCAGCACCTGCCAGACAGCCCAGCTGAGGAAGATGAAAGACGAATGCTGATTATGGACACTGGCTGCCCTGGGCAAACAAATATTAGCCAAGAGGATGGTTATTAATAGTCAGCTGCTGACGTCTAACCTGATTTTTCAAGCTTATTGTTGCTCTTTTGGGAATTGTGAGTTTTCACTTGAAAGAGAACATAAACATTTAACTGAGTAAAATATGTAACACAAAAGATCTCTTTCATCACATTAATCTGTTCAGTGATGCACTTGCACTATTATATAGTTACCACTAAGATAATATTTATAGAGACTCTTTATTTAATCTGTGGTGATTTTCCTTTTGCAAAGGTTTCATTATTTATTTTTTCAAGAAAATGAAGCATAAGCAGACTACAATAATTGTAACATCAAGAAGGTAAAGCTAGATTTTGTTGTTGTGTTACTTCGGGGGACCTGAGAGAAGGGGAAATATGTCTTGGGTGAGACCTCATCCCTAACTGAAAAATACCCCATTTTAAACAATGTACATCAAAACTATGGAAACTCATTCTGTTTGTTTTGGTTTTCTTTGTGGTGGTTTTTTTTTTTCTTTTCTGCCCTTCAGGAAGCCAGTAGTCTAATGTTTGAGCTGATTTTTTTCCTTCTGAAAAGCAACTGGAGTAGCTCTATTCATGTAATGCTAACTGACATGCGAAAAATCCTTTTCTGTTTCATGAGAGAATGGTGTGAAGGGTAAGAGGGAGAGGGACATCCCTAAAAAAGCAAGCCAAAGTTTTCTTGCATTTACTACACTCTGAAGTGTTCCAGTGGGGTGCTATGAGACATTTTTCAATCATATTTTACTTTAGCACCCACTTTTCAAGGCAATACTAGTTTTAACCTATGCAAAGAGATTAAGAGGTACTGCGCTCTAAATGGCTTTAATGTTCTGTAACTATTTTCAAAACTTTTTCCTTACTCAAAGAGTATGAAAACACCTTTATAATTCCAGGTTAAAGTGGAAAAAAAACCCTGTTCCTAGTGCGTAATAAATAAAGAATAAATTGGCATTTATGCAGTGCCTGGCGATCTGGATGGAGCGGAAGACAGGGCTTTGTGACCGGTGTGGGGAGGTAGGAGGAGGATTTGGAGGGAGAGGGAGAGGTTTTCTGTCTGGTGTGGCTGCAAGGCACTGCAATCTAAGCAGAAATGACAATCTTGCTTTCTTTTGCACCCACTCCATTGACGCTTGCCATATTTGCTGCTCAGCCAGCATTTATCATCATCTCCACATCTTTTTCTGGTGGGCAGAGTGAAAGTTTCCTTAAGGGAAATAAATAACTAACCAAAACAATCAGGGGAAGTGCACATATTTTGCTTTAGAAAATTAAACCCAATCTTCATGCACCTTCAGGCCCTCAGAATGTGGAATGGTGATGGGTTTTGCACTTTTATCAAATGAAATTAACTGGCTTCTTCTGTAAGTCCAAGCATGCATTTTATTTATTATTTGCAAATGTGTTTCAAGCCAGATTCTTGTCCTCTTACATGTGTTGGGTAGCTGGTTGCTCCAGAAGTTGTGTGGCTGAAAGAGTACAACTCTGGGAAGTTTGGTATCTCTGCAGAAGAGACTCTGGGCAGGCTTTTAGTGCTTTATATGCTCATAGGTTTTTTGTACGTAAGCGAGTGGTACAGTTGTTATTTTGCTTTCACACCTGTGGTTGGAATGGCATTTTACTTTGCCTTGTGCCTGATGAAAGCATATACACACACCTGCTAAAATTTAGGTAGTTCATTAAAAAATTTCTCTCAGACATGACCATTTCACTGAAACATGCTAGTGGAAAGAAGGATTGGGTTTCCTCAAATTTAGAGTGCGTTTAGTCTGTACTCGCCTTCTGTATTTTTTGTGACAACCTAAATGCTAACTGCATATTGTTCTCATTAGGGCAATGATTAACACACATTTCTTAATATCTATGTCTTGTTAAAATCTGGAAAATATAATAAATCTGGCTAGCAAACATGAAGCTGTGGTACCGTATTGTTTCGGATGACTTTGTTGTGGTAGAGCAGATAGCTGAGTAATCAGGGTGTTTGTATTATGTTTTGCTGACAGTGATATCATTTCTAGCAATAACATGACATATTCCTTTAAATATGAATTTGCAAAAGTCTAGTACACTGAAGTGCTTTAAAAATGTTGCCGTGACATACAGGGCGATTTTATATGGCTAAATATGTACTTCTAAACCAATGCTTTTGGCTTCGTATTTATGCTCTGCAAATTCAATAAAAAGAGAGTTGTCAAAGAGATGTCAAACAACAGATTTTTGGATTACGTGTTTGAAATTAGCCACGAACCAAATATGAAGCACAAAATGGCATATGTCTGGTTTGTTATCTTTGTTATCATTTGCTGCAGTTTGTTATCACGTGCCACAAGAGACATTTTGTCTTTATGTGCCTATGCCAATGACTCAATAAGAATGAGGATAAAAGGACTTTAAAGTACCCATATAGTGTGCTGCTACAGTAAAGTAAAAATAGGGATTTCATATGTCTGATAGTCTGGGGAATTTGTTTCTCACGATTATTTGGGTGGAAAATTAGTAATAAATTGCTATGTACATGAGTTACATTGTATTCTACTGGGTGACAGAACCTGGGAGCTGGACATCCTGTGAGACAAAGCTGGTTTTGTGAGATTTCCAGTGCTTCCTGGTCTAAGCTGGGCCAGAAATAGTGCAAACATAGATCTGCCTGCCATATTTTTGTATTTCTGCTTGGAGGCTTCGCTGAAAGCAGGATGTGTAGAAACACAACATTGTTTTATTTAAAGTTAACCAAACATTCCTGAACCTCAAAACAGGTTTAGTTTGAGTTTGGGGAGGAGATCTGGGCATTTGGTTCAGTTCCTATTTTAACAGTTTGCTTAACTCTAGTATTAGGGCCAGATTTCATGGAAGTGCTGCCATTTACCAGGGCATGCCAACTTTCACAAAGAACTTAGGAAGAAATACAATAATCCATAGTCAAAGTAAATTTTAGTCAAGAAATCTCTAAACAATGCAATATTCTTTTTTTGGGATACTCTAACGAAATTAGTGTGTTGTCCACGTTGAAGTTCATTTCATTCTAGTGCTCACACTTACTCCTTGCAACCTTGCATCTCTTTTCCCACCACCCTTTACTTCCTAATGTCAGTGGAGTCCACTTCCAAAACAGCCTTTACAACCCTCGCTTGCATTTATTTCAGTAGGAGTTCAGCACCTAAATACCTGATGGATCTGATCTGGACCTGACCTCTTTTTAATTTTGCCAGCAGTCTTATCTCAAGTGCAAGAGTGGTGCCAGCCATAATCAAATGTGGACAACATATGCTGAACTACATGTAGGTGACCAACGTTGAGGGCAGCATTAGCTCAGGTGCATTGCCAGGGCCCCGAAATCCCAACTGATGAGAGGTCTCGCCGCAGCTCCTGCATCACATCCTGCAGCTCCTGCATCCTTGGCCACAAACTGGTGCTGGAGGCAAGCTGCAGGACATTCCCGCATGACAGAAAGGCATGTCAGGAAATCATCAGTTAGTTGCCTATTCCCTAGCCGTGAGGAATAAAGATTTCAAAAGAGCACCGACACAAAAAGACAGAGGTCCCTGACGGTAAAGATCCCAAGCTCTCCCTCAGCTACCTTTCAGGAGGTTGCATGTACATCATGGACTCGGGCACATACAGACTTAATCTTCATATCTGCTCTTAGGCATAGGAACAAATGAAGCAAGCTTGGAAGGCTCTTTAAACACTTCTGAGTATTTACTGTTTTGTAAGGGGAGAGGGACAAAAGTTTATGATCCAATGAGTACTCTCAGAAAACAGTGACAGGTTTGTAGGATAAGACTGATGAGATGCTGCTATGAAGCTGCTAGGGTAAATTTCCAAACATTACTTTGAGTGCATACTGGTTTAACACGCTCCAGGGTAAAGATCCATGTGGTTTGATACAGCTGTTTCAGGATAGAGCCTGAAACTGTGTACTGAATAAAATGTTGCACATAGTTACAGTAGGATGTTTTGTTTGAAGTAAGGACAAAGAGCCCAGCAGCACGCATTTTACAGGCATGAGCGAGTAACCAGTCACCTGCCCGTTCAGCTGCAGGAATATATGTGCCTTTCAGGAGGGGTGCTGCCTGCTGCCTCTGAGAGGAGGCTGAGCATGTCAGAGGACAGAAGAATTACTCTTCTCACCACCCTGTCCATGAGAACCCGCTTCAGGCTCCTTCCTTTCCCACTCTGCAAAGTGGGAACAATAATTCCGCTTTCCACCTGCTTTTGTCTTCCTGGCCATGATAGCTGTGGGCCAACATCCCTGCCTCAGCCAGCAGAACCCACAGAGACCTGGAGGCATTGCTGCAGTAGCACGAATGTCACAGAGGGTTCCCAGCCTCTGCCTTACAACGTGTAATAAAATTCTGTGCGTGTGTTATCCGTGTCGGCTTACCCTTTTTGCATGCCTGCATGCTCACTCAGTGCATTGGGTTGTTACTCATGTGCTCAGCACATCGCCATTAATTGAGCTCAGCTAGGGCTTCATTGATGCCAGGCAAAGGGGCTTGCGACCAGAAGGGAAGGAGAGGAAAGGAAAGCCTGCTGGGCCTGCCCTGCTCCCCGACGGGGATTTTCCCACGCTTGCCCAGTGCTGATAAACAGCTTTGATGTTCCTGAAACAGCAGCAGTTGAGTCGCCAGCTCTGTGTTACAGCCCGTGTCACGCTGAAGGACAGGATTGGGTTTCACCCTCTGCACTAAAATTATCCTTCAGGCCAAGCCAGTTTTGTTTTCGGTGGAGAAAGCATGCCTGCTCCCCACCGCCCCCACCGCTGCAGTCCCAGCCTGGCTGGCAGGGGTTTGTGCCCGTGCCACCTGTCCCCGTCCAGCAGTCTGTGACAGCCCCTGGGCAGCCGACACTGCTCCTCAGCCTGTCCCCACCGTCCCCTCTCCATTCCCCACTCTCCAGGACAAGCAAGTGTCTAGCAGGGACCTCGCTGTCCCCACACACAGGGCTGGTGGGTCTTCTC